GGGCTTCGAGGTCAAAGGGTAGCGAAAGTATAGTGTCAAAGTTGTGTGGTTTATGGGACCTTTTACAAGTTTGAAGGGCAGTTCGAGATCTAACATTGTTTTCCTTTAACCTTATTGAATAGAGTTTTTGAAGATAGGGAAATAACGTTCAAGTGATGCTTCTTTCGCAAGTCTAAAGAACGTCTTTAGGGCTTAAGGTTTCCAGGTTTAAGGTGTTTGGGTTTTTTCTCCCGCTGGCAGGGACATGGCCTTTAAAACCAGAGGGTCAGATGCAAAAGCTAAAGGGTCAGACCCAACAAATTCGACTTCTTTCAGAGTTATACCGATATCGCCTCAAACCCTGAACCCTAGGCCTGACAGCCTAGCCCTTCTGGGCACCCTACACTTTCGGTTTCGCGTAGCCTAGATGCCAATTTCAAAGGAGTGTATGGATCTTCCCTTTGCACCGCATGACCCTATAGATTCACCGTTTCACGCATCAGAAACCATAAACCCCTAAAGACCCACCCCACGGACGAGCCCACACCTTCCACGAAATTGGGCTCCAGCACCGCGTCGGGTGACCTTGCTGAGTCAGTACCGCCGTAAACCCCAGGTGCAGGGTTTTAGACGAAAATCAGAACAGGTCAGAAATACTACGCCTCGTAATGATACAAGCCCCTGCGTTATGATGACATGTTGAATGCACATTCATGGGCCTCTCGGGGCAGAACTTGGGTGGAGTTGTGTCAGTTTGTCTGGCAGTCCCGTCACGGTGGCAGACCGCACCGCAATGATATCAAACCAACTGTTCTCAGCTTGCAAAGCTCTGGGACCGAGCTCGAGGAACGCCCAGTGGAAGGTCTGAAGCTTTCGTTTCCCTCAGGGTCCACATGCCTTAAATAGTTTAAGGGAGTCCCTATATAAAAACTTTGGGGCCCAAGTATATAATAATTGGGTACATGGACCCTTAGGGTTTGTTAGTCGGCTTCGGTTGATTCACCGGTGTCACTTCGTCCGATTCGCCACTTCCTATGCACAGAGCACGACGAAGTCTCCGCAGTTGCAGCCCAGAACGCCCGAAACTTGTCGCACGTCTGTAATGCATGCTGGTGTGTCACCTGGAAGTGGCACAGAGCTTCGGCATCAGTTACCGGCTAACCTGGTATACTCAACATGCCTGGCAGCGAAACGGATCAGACACATACTTGAACAAACATAATCGCTACCAGTTCCAACCAGAAGAGCCATGAAATCAACCGCCTTATTGTTAACAGCTCGACTCCGCAAGATCGAGGCCAAAGATCTTCCAAACACCAAACAGGCGGAACAGAGTTGGTTGGTCTCCGAGCTTGGAATGCCTAGGTGCGAAGCACACCAAACAAGCTTGAGGCCTACATTCTAAGTTCTACACCCCTAGCGCCCTAGCTGCCAAGACTAAAACCCAAACCCTATAGGTCCTGAAAGCTTTCCTTTTAAACCGTGAAGGGTTGAGAGCTTAGGGTTTATGTTTCCTGTTCAGGGTGTTCTAACCCAAAAGAACCCCAAAAACCCTAAAATACTAAACAGCACAAGACTACACCCGAACGCACAGTCGTAAACCCTGAACCCAATAAACTCTATCTAAAGCCTGAACCCTGGGATCTAACCTCGCAGCAAATACCTAGATGCTAAACCCTCAGACGCTACTGCCGAGAGTTGAGCATCGAAAAGCCCCAGTGGTAGTCGCAAAGCCCACTTCTACGCTGCCTCCTTGCTAGACTAGCTGCTAGACGCTTTCAATTTAAACCCTATAAATGTCGCTGCGGGGCCATGACCCCACATCGTATATACTTTGACCCGAAGGCACTTCTGTAGGAACCCCCTGCAGGGACAAATGTATATGATATAATGCATTTTATCGGTACACATATTTTAAATGTAGCCTGCCTAAGGCCTAGACGCAGGACAGCCTACAGTGTTTGGGAACTCTTGCAATGACTTCCTAACCACTTTCCTGAGAAAAAAACGGCAGGCTTTGTTGCGTGGGGCGACCAGCGGGTACTGTGCAAAGCCCCCGGCCCCCCCAACCCCTCAACCCCAACCCTACACCCAAACCAAAATCTGAAGCCTAAACCTAAACCCCTAAACCCTAAACCCCCACCCTAAACTCCAAATCCCTGAACCCCAAATCCCTAAACCCTAACCCCCACCCCTAAACCCCAAATCCCTGAACCCCAAATCCCCAAATCCCTAAACCCTAAACCCCCACCCCGAAACCCCAAATCCCTAAACCCCCACCCCAAATCCCTGAACCCCAAAACCCGCCTAAACCCTAAACCCCACACCTAAACCCCAAATCCCTGAACCCAAAAGCCCGCCAGGATAGCCCTGGGTGCCCGGGCCCCAGCGTGTCCGTGACAGCCTCCACAAGGGCCTGCCCGGCTTCGTTGGTTTGTAAAAAGGTTTAGGTTTAGGATTTAGGGCATAAGATTAAGGCCTTAGGGATTAGGGCTTCAGGGTTTTAGGGTTTAGGGTTTAGGGTTCTATAAGGTTCATGGGAGTTTAATACGAGGTTTGTCAATGGGTCTATATAGGGTTTAACATGCCTTAACTGTTTAACTACAGCTGGGGCTTCGGTCCAGGTCTTGGGGTTCGGCCTCAGCTGAGGGTTTGGGGCTCAAGGCTTTTCCGGTTCAAGGTTTAGGGCTGAGGGTCTAGGGTTTGGGACCTTAGGATTTAGGGTTCAGAGTGTAGGGCTTAGGGTTCAGGGTTTAGGCTTGGGCTCACCAATGACGAACCCGAAAGCCCTGACTTGTCAAAATTTTGAGTCGCCAAAGCCTCCTTTCAGTGCCACCTGCCTCCTAAAGTATCCATTGTAGTTCCTTTTTTCAAGGAAACGGCAGGTGGGGAGCTTAGGGTCTATAGGGCTTCTACAAGGCTTCTATAAAGTATATAGACCTTCTATAAGGCTCCTAAAACGGTAACTACCCACCTGAAAATGTCCTAGACTTTTGAGGTTAACCAAAATTGCAATTGAAGGATCCTAACCACCTAACCATGAAACTTGTCAACCAGAAAAAGAGCTACAATGGAGACCAGACTCTCTGTAAACCCAATTTTCTGGGTGCGTAAAGCGCTAAACCCTGTAACCCCACACCTCAAGCCCACAGTCAACCCTAAACCCTAAACCCCTAAACCCTAAACCCCTAAACCCAAAACCCCTAAACCCCTGAACCCTGAACCCTCTGGAAACTTCGAAATGCGAAACCCTAAGCCTTCAACCCCTTGCCTTGCCCTCAACCCCGAAGCTCCCAGAACCCCAAAGCCCACCACCTGCAGAGGTTTAGGGTTCTGGGGTTTGGGGGTTTAGGGTTTAGGTTTGGGGGTGTAGGGTTTAGGGTTTAGGGGTTTAAGGTTTAAGGCCTTTAATATCCAAAAAAAGCACCGAAAGACGTCAACCCTGATTGAGACTCCCCGGACTACCCCCAAAAACACCCTCGATGAAGGACCGTAGGGGCTCCTGGGAGGGGGGGGG